TGCTGTCTTGGATGAGCTGTAACACGGCCTCCTACTTGCTCACTGCCCTGAGCCACCTCCCGTACTACGGGGACCCCCTCGTCCGCTACGCCCGACGCAAGAAACACGAATGGCTCCTCGAGTCTGTGGCCCAGGAAGCCAACACCATCCTGAGGGGAGTCCTGGAAGGCTCCGTGTCTGAGCAGGTGACGCCCACAGGCTCCTCCTTGGAGAAAGTTGTCCCCTCTGAGGAGCGTCTCCCCAGCTCTGCGGTGTCCCCGCACTCCCAGGAGGTCTAAGTTCCGAGGCCATGGCTGCCCTGCTCGCTGGGCTCCTGCCTCCGCCAACACAGGAATGTGCCCTGGGCCACAGCGTTTGTCCAGCTCACTAAGTCAGCTGAGGTCCGGACAGCCCAGACAAGCCCTTTCCGCCTGCATCGTGTCACGCCCACTCTCTGTCGGTCCCCCCGGCACCTGGTATCCCGACATTCGCTCCTTCTCACTCGCCCTCACTGGAACACCGGGGAGAACTGTGGGGCCGTGAAGGGGAGGTGTTTTTATCCAGGATGCCAAGGCCAGTCTGGTTGTAAAGTTCTGCCCCTTGACCTCTCCTAAGCAAATGCCAAAATCCACCAATTACCGAATGAAGAGCAAACCTACCTGTTCTAATACCAGACAGAGCCAGTTCTGCCCGGTCCTCTCTCAGCCCTGTACGTCACAGCCTCATGGCGGACACAGACCAGCCTCATCATCTCCTAAGTTAATATTGTACTTAGATATCAAAGGGCCAACAATGAAAACTTTCATCTCTACCGAGAAAAGTTTAGAGAAATGTATTCAATGTATCTAATATCAAAATGGACAAGAGATTTAATGTAAAAAAAACCCACTTTATATTGACATTGAAAAAGAGAAGAGATTTAATGTAGGCCAGAAAGAACCTTTTTTATTCATTAATTAACAGGGTTACAGTCCCATGGTGAGAAGTACTTTATTAAATATCAATTCATTGTTATTTAAGAAAAAACAAACAAGAGACCAGCAGGTGGCGCCATGGTTACGTCGCTGGATTCCTGCGTGGTCGGGGGCAGGTGGAGTCCTGGACCTGGTGTGTGTGCTTGTGCCCCAGATCCCGAGAGGGGCGTGGAGAAGGAGGGGTTGTGGCACAGCCACCCCCGGGAGTGATTCCTCACTTTCTATCCTCTCTCTGGGTCTCCAGCGAGCACATGAGCCCTATAGCAAAAGTCTCTTTTCAGAAAAAAAGTGACCGGCAGAGATTTGGAGTATGAGGATTCGCAATAAGCTAGACTGTGTGTTCTCCATTACTTTACATTAATTAGGTTTCATTTGCGGTAGGCATAAACAAAACCACAAATGTTTATGTGAGGCAGTCGCGGCCGGGATGAGTGAGGGTGTTGAATGCCACAGGCTCCCGCCTCGTGGCTCCCACCGCCTGCCCGCGCAGCTTCGAAGGGCCCTCATGCAGCCCTGGGTCTGACCCCGTGTCCTGCGACCTGGCAGGGGCACACCAGCTCTGCAGGCGTGCGTCCTGCGTGTGCTCTGTCTCCCACACTTGATGCTTTGGGCGATGGTGTGAAGCCAGAGCCCACGACTGCCCCGCACACAAGGCCGGGTCAGACAGAAGCCAGGTGGTGCCCTGAGGTGGCCTCGGAATCTCGTTCTGTTCTCTCGCTCTCTCTCGCTCTCTCTCGCTCTGGCGCTTTCTCTCTTGCTCTCTCATGACTGAGTGCTGCTATGTCCTGGTCTTTCTTGTTTTCTTCTGTTTCTCTCACTTTGACTTTTAAAAGAATTATTTATTTAATTTCATTTATCCATTCATTTATTTTTAACTTGATCAGAGAGAGGCAAAGTGAGAAAGCAAGCCACCAGGTCGGACTTGAACTGTGGTCGGCCATGTGGGGGTGTCCAGCGCCCTAACCACCATGTCAACTGCTGGTCCTGGTGTTTTCTCTTAAGTGAAAGCTCAGACTAGCCAACCCTGTGAGCCTGCAAGGACTGGACTCAAACCACCCAGGGGTGGTTGGGTGTGGTGCAGGGAGCAGGTGTCCAGAGGCCCAGAGAGGGGGCTGCATCGGGCCACGGCCACAGAGGGGGAGACACAGCAGAGCGAGGAGCCTGAGAGCTGCCAGTTCTGTAAGGAGCTTCTGGATGGTCCCTTTACAGACGTGTCCAAACCTACTGGCTTCAGACAGTGACTGGCCACGCTGGGTGGTGCAGGTGGGCGTGTGCTGATCCGCCACAGCGAGAGCCCGCGGCTAACCAGGGTGCATCCCACGTCCTCCTAAACACGCCAGGTGCCCAGGCCCAGGATCCGACAGGCTGAGAGGCTGGGGGTGCAGCGTGAGCGGCCCTGCCACGCATCTCTCATGTGTACATGCCTGCCCTCTCGTGAGAAATAAACTTAAGGAAAAAAAACACTAAACAGAGTTCTTGAAGGTCAGAAACCCAGGAGCTTCACCTGGTGGCGCCAGATCACGGCCCCCTCATGAGGCTGCAGTGGGGCTGCTGGCCAGGCCACACCCGAGCCTTGTCACTGCACTCTGCTCCCGGTGCTGTGCTGCGTGCAGGCGACTGGAGCTGGCGCAGCCTCTGCTCCCCTCGCGGGGCCTCTGGGTGCCGCCAGTCCTAGCGGGACATTCGAAGCTATTGCACCGAGAGAGAAGCCGGGGACGAGCGGGAAACACAGGGCGACTTAAAGTGGATGCAGCAAACTCTCCCTAACATAATTTCAGAAACGACAGCCCACCTCTTCCGCACGTAGTAGTCGCTCAGAGAGAAGGGACTGAACAGACACGAGGGCGGGGAGGACATTCGGAGACTGTGGGACAGCTGCTGCCGCGACCAGGGCCCTCCACTGCTGGGACTCCATGAGGCACCACGAACTAAGAACTGCCTCTGGCCTTCTCATAACTCTGCCTTCTGATTTCTGTCATTTTCTCACATCTCCTCTTTAATCTTTTAAATTTGCATCATGTTTTCTATTGGATAAACCAACGGACCCGACACCCCACAGACCTGCTGGCGGTCGGGCTCCCTGAGGCATGGCTCTCGTAGGTCCGTCCTGGCAGGCTAAGGCAGAGTCCCACGGAGACAGCCCCGGGAAAGGCAAGGTCAGGCTGGGTTGCAGCTACAGCACCGACCCGAGGGCCATCCCCACCCAACACCCTGCACCACTGGGCCCCATCTCTTCTCTCCTGCTCTGGAGACTCCTCGGGAATCGGGAGGAGTGCTCTGCACAGGGCTGGCCTCTCCTTCCTGAGCATTCCAGAAGGGAAACTTACGTGTGTATGTGTGCAGCACACACCCCCTGCAGCCTGTCGGACACACGCTGCACTCGGGGACAGTAACAGAGAGACAGCAGAGCCAGACGAAGGCCAGCTGTCACTGCATTCATATACTGTTTCCTTAGAGTGGTTTTAGCCTCAGCAACACTGAGAGGAAGGTGGAGTTTCCAAGGAAGCCCTCATCCCCACCTGTGACACGTGCTCCCCACCACCCACACCCGCCCTGGGGGTGCACCTGTTTCTGACCGCGTCCTGGCCTGACACTGCTGTCACCCCAGTCTGCAGTTGTGTTCAGGTCACTCTGGGTGACACATGCCCTGCGATTACTGACAAACGTGTAGTGACACACGCCCACCCTGCGAGTGCCGATCCGACGGTCTCACTGCCCTGGGAGTCCTCTGAACGCTGCCTCTCCACCCCCACCCGCCTGATGCCACGGCTCCTCCCCCGTCTGCATAGTTGTCCCTTGCTAGTGTGTCGTGTGGCTGGAGTCACATGGCACGTGGCCTTTCAGACCCTCCGTCTGTAGTGTGGTCACACTGCTTGCGTCCTGGCGAGCACCCAGCAGCTCGCTGCTGTCCACCAAGATGCCACTCATGACGTCTGGAAGCCAGGTCCGGGGTTTCCCAGCGAGGAAGCAGGTCCAGTTACGCAGCAGGACCTGAACGCCGTCAGGCTAAGTGCTGAGGGCGTGCTCAGTGGACAGGAGAACAGAGGCCGAGAGGAGGTGGGGTGCTGGTTCCCAGTGAAGGGCCGCCATCCGGAAATATCACCAAGGTGACGCTGAGGACGGACATGTGCGACCCGCGATTGACAACTGCAGTGGAAACCAGTGACGGGCCAGGGACCAGCAGAGGGCGTAGAGGTTTTGTTGCTGGACTCCACAGCAGTTCGAGTCCCAGACCCGGTGACTTAAAACTCACGCTGGGTGCATATGAGCACACGTCTAAGACCCTGAGAGGAGAATGGAGCAGAAGGGATTGCGGCGTGGCCATCCCCCGGGGGGTGAGTCTCACTTTCTGTCTGTCGTTGTCTTTCTGGTGAGAACATGCAAAACCTCTCAAAAGAAAAGAAGGGGACACCAGGGGTGTGTGACAGCCGAAGGACGACCACAGAGGACACAGCAAGGAGGGGGACTTGCCCTTCAACAGGATCAGAGCTCCTAAACCCGAGAGTGAGGACAGGGAGGGCGGCCTTCAGGCATGAGTGGGGAGGACGGTGCCCTGGGGCTCGGAGGGCGTCCAGCCCCGCAGAGGTCCCTGCTTGTCCCTTCAGGAGACCCTCAGATGCCTCTCTCTCAGGGGCTTTCCAGGTGATGGCCTCTCAGGAGGCCACGCCCCTCTGCACTCAGAAGGGAAAACTCCCTCCTTGAGGCTGGCAGGTGGCATGGTGATTAAGGGTGCTGGACTCCCACATGGCTGACCATGGTTCGAGTCCTGGGCCTGGTGACTTGTTTTCTCACTTTCCATCTCTCTCGCTCTCTCACTCTGTCTCTTTCTGGTCACATTAAAATAAATAAATAAAATAAAAGAATTTAAAAAGAGAAAAGAAAGCGGCCTCCTTTACATGAAAAGTTCTCGCAGACTCACATGTTGGGACTTGGTTGGTTGTAAAACGTTAAGTGCAAACTGAACCCTGGGGTGTATAAGCAAGAGAGAAGGCCCCGTGGAAGCAGACCACTCTGGCTCTGGCAGCAGCGCCCTGCCGTCCGTGCCTGACCCAGGCCTGCACTGCCCGGCCACCAGAGCCCCACCAGCCCGGGTCTGAGGGCCTCCGCTGTCTCTGTCAGCCACACGGACACCCTCACCACGTTCTCAGTGACCAGGGTGAGGTTTGGGGTGCCCTCTCTCTCGTCAGGACCCCGAGTATGACAAGCCTGCACTTTTTTAAGCTGCTGTCTTCGGGAACGTGAGGAAGAGCAGGAAAGCCCAGCAGCTTTGAGGCAGGAAGGGCTGCCCAGGGTCCCTGACCCCAAGCCCAACGGGATTCAGGGAGGAACGTGACCACGGTCCCCACCCACCCCCGGGTGGGGATGCGCCCTCCGCACAGGTGGGCTTTGGGGATGCGGAACAGGAAGGGCTGCCCGGGGTCCCCGACCCCACACCCAACAGGATTCAAGGAGGAGCGTGACCACAGTCCCACCCACCCCCAGGTGGGGACATGCCCTCCGCACAGCTGGGCTTTGGGGATGCGGAACAGGAAGGAGACAAAGAATGAGAAGGCTTTAATGAGAATGAACACCAGTGCTTTACGAGATTATTCCTGGCAGACACGACAGCTTAAAAGCGAAAGCGAGCTTCCTGTGTTCTGAACGCAGGACCCTGGTCAGCGATCTCAACGGCCACTCGTCCTTCGAAGGGCCGGCGCGTTGGCGCCAGGGCCGTGGGAGGAGCTGTTCTCTTCATTTTGTTCAAGTCATGAATTACCGTGGGTAACGAGGAGTGTCCCACCCCGCTCTTCACGTCTAGTGGTGCCGAGACCAGACCTCCACCTGCCTCCCTCCGCGAGCCTCTGGACCACAGCTGCCCTCAGCCGCGAGGACAGATTGCTCCAGGATGCTCCTCACCAGGGCTCTGGCGTCCTGGGAAACTGCCTGGAGGAGCCGTCTGTGCCTTGTGCATCTTAAGCAGCGGATGACAAGGTCCCCCAAGACTGGGATGTCTCCCAGGAGCCTGACGAAGGCCATCACAGCAGGACAAGTCAGGAGCCTCAGTACCCAGTCCCCTCTGCAGAGCATGCGCAGGTCACGGGACGACATGATGGCCATGAGCTCCACGGTCCGTGGCCCGAGCCCACGGGCCACCTGCTGGACAGACTCATTGTCCACCCCGAAGAGCGAGCGGTAGGCTTCCAGGCACTGCTCCAAGTCGTCCGCGTCCTGGAGGCCAAGGATGTTCTGGAAGTCCTCCGCGGCTACGCTCTCCTTCAGGGAGGTCACTCTGTCCTGAATGACCTTCTCACAGAGGGAGGACAGGGACTCCAGGGGGCCGCGGAACCTGATGTCGGACAGGTCCTTCTGCAACGCGGCCCGAAGCTGCGGGAAGTCGTGCAGGAAGGGGTCGAAGTTGGACACCAGGAAGATGGGGGGCGGCCGCACACCCTCCTTCTGCAGACTCTCTCGGATGTGCTCGCCAATGTCCTGCAGGACCCGTCCCTCTGACAGGGCACCGCCGAGGTCCCTGTCCAGCTTGGTCCAGACCACGTAGAAGGGCTTCCCCAGGGCCTGGACGGCTTTGGCGAGCTTCACGTGATTGAGGCTGAACTGCTCGGACGCGACAACGACAAGGAGGTCAAAGCGGCTGAGCTGCGCCTCCTCCAGGTAGCTCTCCAGGCTCAGGGTGGCCGGCCTGGCGCCGGGCAGGTCCCACAGCATCACGGAGGGGAGATGAGTGTAGGCGTAGCAGCTGGGTGTCCGGGTGGTCCTCACCACCCCCGTGGGCGCCGAGGCAGCCTCGTCGTGGCCTAGGCCCCGCAGCGCATTGATGAAGGACGACATGCCGTTGCCGGACTCCCCGGTCACAGCGACGCTCAGCGGGGTGCCGGACGCCGTCTCCAGGGTCTCCCTGACCACGGGGATCACCTCCAGCAGGCTCCCTCCTTGCAGCGCTCTCCGAATCTTCGCGGCGACGCCGTCCTCGGGCAGAGAGCTGTCCCCCGTGTGGTACAGCAGGGCAGGGGAGGCACACAGCGGAGTGCGAGGGGACGGGGCGGGCTCTGCCATGTCGGCGAGCAGCGCAGCGCCTGCAGGACGGGGAGAGCGGGGTTAGGGTGGCCGGGCACACGGGGCAGCCCGGGGACGAGGGGACTTCGCGTGCCAAGGCCAGGGGTCCAGACCCACAGCCAAGGACGCAGCAGAAACACCTCTGTTTGAGTGGCACCAGCAGGGCTCACGCCAGTGTCCCACGGTGTCACCTGGCAGCACAGCTTCGGGCAGGAGTGGACCTGAGCAGGTGGACATCAGGGGTCACTCAGCCTGGGGCATGAGTCCCTCTCCACCCCGGCCACCACCACAGCCGCAGGGCAGGGACCAGTCTGTGCGGCCACTCACCCTGGGTCACTCACGTGACAGTCCCCAGGACCTACACACCCTCACTGGGTCTGTCTCTGTACCATGAGTAACTTAATTATTCTAATAACAACAAAAGTGCTTTTTCTGTTTTCACGACAATTTTCCTCACCGGTGGCTGCGTCCATGACGAACACCTGTACCTCCCTGTCTCCCTGCCTCCCACACACGAGTCACAGCTCAAAGTAACCCCTGCCCACATCTGAGGCCACCTGTGGTGTCCCCTCTGTCAGGGCCGGAGTCGGTGCAGACCCGAGCTGTCTGTGAACAGGGCCCGCTCTCATGGGCTGAGTCCCAGCCCTGAAACCCAGAGCAAGCTCCCCAGCAGGACTGATTTCTAATGGGCTTTCTTTCTTTAAAGAATGATTTTCAGGGCCAGCAGGTGGCATGGTGGTTAGGGCACTGGACACCCCCCCCCACCACGGCCAGCAGCAGCTTCAGTCCCGGATCTGGCAGCTTGCTGTCTCACTTTCAAAACTCTGTTGCTCTCCCTCTGGTGAGCTCACATGCCCCCTATAGCAAAATTTAAAATCAATAATAATATTAAATAAAAATTAAATAAAAGGTTATTTCAAAATTATTTGCTTTAATTTTAATTATGATTATTTTTTTAATTTGACCACAGAGAGAGATAGAAAGAAAGTGGACCCAGTCCAGGGCTTGAACCGCAGTCAGCCACATGGGAGTCCAGTGCCTTAACCACATCACCTGATGGCCCAGCTAACGTACTTTTTCTTGAAAATCTACTCTCTTCTTTGTGCAGGCATGCTGAAAAAAAAGATTTAAGACTCTGGCTGATGAGTAGCACTGCGAGCCAGTCAGCCCTTCTGTTCCAGGAGAGTTCCCTGCCAGACTCACCTGCCGGGCCGCCACAAACCCCTCCTCACTGAGCAGATGGGTGCTGGCCCGAGAAGGCCCGCTGCTGGGGCAAGTATGGAGACCACCCGCAGGAGCCGCAGTGCTGTCCTCTGGGCACAGCCCCCTCCCCCCTCCCCCCGCTGCTCTCCTGGGACAGTCCCACCTGCAGCCCACGCTCCTCTGCACCCCGCGACTCAGTCTCCCATGGAGGACGGGGCTGAGCCCCATCTAATTTGAGAACCAGCTCTGCCCCTTGAAATGTGGGCGAGGTCCTAAAGCCCCATCTCTGCCCTGTGCACTGCGAGACATGCCACCCCTCCCAGAACCGGTGTGAGGCCGTCACGGCAGGAGCCTCACAGGCTCTGAGTGCACCCAGCACCCTCTTGGCGAGGCCTCTCTGGTCTCTGCGCAGAGAAAGCAGGGGTCCTCTGGCTCCTCCTCCCGCCTCAGCCCCAACTCCCCCGCCCAGAGGGTCTGGTGTACGCTGGGGTGTTCGCTGCCTGAGCCCATGTCATCTCCCCACACCCACAGCCACTCCCTGTTAGGTAGGTGGCATTAGCATCTCTGCTCTGGGTGAGGACAGAGCCTCCCGGGGACGCAGCAGGCCCTGGTGCTTCACAGTGCACGCGAGGGCCCAAGCCCTGAGGTGTTTCCGTGTAGATGGAGGACAGTTCTGGGAAAGGGTCTCAGCTCCCAGGGCTCTGAGCTGCTTCCCAGGGACGAGGCCCACTGACGGTGGCCGCCCCTACCCCCTCGATGCACCCGTCCTGTTTGGACAGAGAAGGAAACCACGGCTCTCCATGCCCGTCCTCATGCTGTCACTGACTCGTGGTTATAAAGGAGAGTCTCGCATGCGATTCCCCGTCTCGGAGCCGACATGGCACCTCGCCCTGTCAGGAGAAGAGATGCCCAAGGAAAGGGCACGGAGGTGCAGACTGTGCGCGGGGTGACGAGGCGGGCCGCCATCACGCATCTTGTGTGCACCTGGGTCCCCAGGGCCCTCCCCGGGGTGCAGTGGCTGCCAGGAGCCTCAGGTGAGCAGGGCAGTGCCTCCCCTGCAGGATGGCCTGCCCTGAGCTGGCTGGGGCGGTGGGGAGGGGGTGGGGACGTGCACGCAGGGAAAGCTGCCTGGAACCACAGGGTGGGCCCCCGACAGTCTAGGCTGGGATTGGTGGACCGGCACAGGGCGGGAGGGCGCTCTGCAGTGTTGGGGTGAGCGTCCCCTCGCCCAGCCCAATTCTGGTCCTCTTACCGCTCAGGAGTCAGGCACCATCTCTGTGTCTGCTGTCAGGGCCACATTGGAGTCAGAGCCCACCGCCCACCCCAGCTCCCTCCCCACGGCCTGCTTCCTGGCCCATTGCCCCACACCCTGGTGCTGGTCACCTCTGCACCCCAGACCCACCAACCCAGCCCCAGAGGGCTTCTGGGGTGTGCCCTGCTGCAGCCCGTAGGTCACGGCCCAGCCAGGGAAGGACCTGGGCCTGCCCAGGAGAGCCTGCAGGTCCTGGGGGCTCGGGGCATGGTGTGGGTGTGGGTGTGGTGAGTGCCGGGACACTGGCCCAGAGCACTGACCCGAGCTGAGGAGCGGGGTCACAGCCAGCCCAGGATGCAAGTGACCTCACTTTGAGGGCCCGGACCACATCGAGCCTCTGGTCTAGGGCCTCGGAACAGGGGCCATGACCCCAGAGGAAGGGGACCAGGCCCCACTGGAGGGAGCTCAGGGAGAGGGTTCAACCAGAGAGGGGCAGCCAGGCTGGGGGAGAGCCAGACCCCTGAGCCGTCTCCGTGGGCCTTCACCTTGCACGCCTGCTCCCAAGGCCGATGCTGCCCCAGCACCTAGGGCGGGGAGGGCGAGGGGCTCTCCTTGGCAGAGCTCCTGTACTCGCTCTGTTGACATGAGGGCAGGCCTCGCCCACTGGCCCAGCCCACCGCAGAGCGTGCACAGTGAGACGACCAGTGTGGACCGGACGTAGAGTCCAGGCAGCAAGGACTGTGGGCCCAGACCCAGCATGGCCAAAGCCCCGGGTTGACCCCTGCTAGACCTCTGTCCCCTGGGGCCCAGCAGTCCAGCCCTCAGTTCCTGGGAGGCTGGTAGTGCAGAAATCCAGAACCTGGTTTAGAGAACAGCGGGCACCTCCTGCCCTGTCTCCAAGCTCAGGCCCTTCTGAAGACCACCACTGCCGGGGACCACCTGTGCCAGGCACGTGGTGCGCACTGAAGGGTGGCTGGGGGGTGGGTCTGGCAGCTGTGAGGTCCCTGAAGGTGGCAGAGAGGGGCCTGCAGCCACTCACTGCCCTGGGAGAAGCCAGAGGAGCTCTGCCCTGCTATGGGGTGGCCTGAGCCGGGGTACGCAGACGCCCTCCCACCCACCTGCTCCAGACCGCGCAGGTGCGGGAGGGACGGTGGCCCTTCCCAGAAGTCGCCTCCTCCTTGCTGAAGGGTCCCTGCCCTCAGGCAGCCACGGCTCTCTCTGCGACCAAACAGAACTGGACCCCAGGCCGCTTGCTCTGGAAAGACTTAGCCGGGTCCAGGCAGGAGTCCCGGGAACCACGTCAGGCAGCAGCGAAGAGGACCCGGAGAGCTCCACCCGGCCGGGTTCCTGTCTGGGTTGCAGCTGTTGCTGCCTGCAGCCGCGCCCCTATTTCTAGACCTGAGTCCTGCCCCAGCAACTCCTGCTTTTAGTTTCTGTTTCTGGAAATCGCTGGGTGCCCGCTCCAGGGCACCTTCCCAGAGGGGCAGGAACGCAGCCAGGGCCTCAGGCGGAGGCTGAGGACGCTGTCCTGTCCCCACCCAAGGTCACGGTGTCCTGAGGGCTCTGCAGTCCCGCTCCAGGGCCTAGTCCTGGGATGGTGGGCTGGCCCTGGGAGAGCTCTGGGTTTTGCATGTTAGTGGTTCACCCAGAGGGCACAGGCACTTGCTGGAGAGTCGGAGAGGGCTAAGCATCCCCACGGGCATCCTCTCAGCAATCCTTCCCCTCCTCCGCTCTGTCGGGGTTTTGCACATGCACTGGCCGGCATCCAAGTGTCTCTCCAGACCTGGACTCAAACCCTGAGGGCAGCCCTGTGGGACCCAGCTGCATAGACTACCCACCCACTTTAAGCCCCCAGGATGTCCTGAGAGTCAGCCCCACCCGCAGTCTCCAGCCACAATGCCAATCAATGCTTTCCTCTTACTGAAAGTGCAGGGGGACCCTGGCCGCAGCCTGCCCCTGCAGATGCCCAGCCCCCTGGGTACTTTCACCACGTGTGAACAGGTCCCTGACCTTGGGGCCTCTGTGACCCCGCGGCTTGCCAGGGCCATCCCTGCTGAGTGGACCTTGTGGACAGCCCCGCGCCCAGCTCAGAAAGGAGAAAGGGGGGAGTAAGGGGCGCTCCCTTCACTGAGCCCGAATGCTGCTCCCTCATGCAGGGAGACCTTGCAAACTGGTCCTCAGCACACCCCTGGCTGGGAGAGCCCATCGCACAGCTGTCCTGTCTGGGGAACCTTCCGGGGCCACCAGAGACCGGCCCCTCCTGACCCCAAGTGCCCTCCCACCCTCCCTTCTCTCCATGAGCTGCCTGGACTCATGCTTTCGTTTTCCTTTCCCAGAAATGCCCGGCTGTCCAGAAGCGACGCAGTGGTGTCCTGGTCTCCTGTTCCTTCCTCAGAGCCAGAACCCGAGCTGCCAGCCGGGTTGTCCGAGGGCTGCTGGGTCCTTCCTGCAGTCCAGCCATCTCCTCTCGGCCAAGTCCTCGCAGCTGGGCAGAGGCGTCAGTCCCTGCATCTCCGTGTGACCACAGAGGCAGGAGCTGCTGTCTGAATGTCCTTGTAGCACTGTTAAGAAAGCAAGAAGAGGGCCGCCCCACAGCACAGGGCTGAGCGTAGTGCAGTGGGAGTCAGAGCACACATGGCCGAATGCAGTTCAAGTCCTGCACCTGGTGATTTGTTTTCTCACTTTCCCTTTCTCTCTCCCTCTGGTCAAAGTTTTAAAAATAATAATAAATAAAATTAAATAAATAAATCTTTAAAAAAGAATAAATCATGCAAAAAAATAAAAAATCGAGTAGACAGGCGTTGTTTGGGGATTACAATACCAGACCAGCGCGTCGGCGGACTATGTCCGGGGTCAGTGCCGCTAATGGGGGTGTGAGTGTGGGAGGGTGTGCAGCCCTTGGGACAAGCCCCGGCCACGGCCAGCTCCACGAGATTAGGGATGGTCATGAGAGGCTCATTGCGTCCAGCTGGGCCCGTCTGTCCACGCCAGCTCAGTGTCGGAAAGTGGACATGCACGGCCATTCCT